AGGCACTACATTTTTAATTCATTTGGAATCATGTCATATGAATAAATAAATTAAATGTACTAATTTATAATGTATGACTTATTTAAGTGAAAAAAACTGGATATGAACCAATATAAACGTTTTTTTTTTTCCATTGAAAACTGCAGTTTTTGGTTGTGGGCCACAATAATTAGTTTCAAAAAGATACGAGATTTTCATTTAAAAATATTTTCTGATATACGGTAAACCAAACTAATGTTGTGTCATAAAGTGGTTCTGATTTTGACAAAGTATACGTAATGAATGTGAATCGGTGAATGTGAAAAATAAAAGTTAAAAGTGGAAAGATGAATGATCCATAGAATATGAAAAAACCAGCAGAATAAATGCGAAATAAAATCTATTCTTATTTTCTAAATTATTCTCTGCAGTATATATTATAAAACGAATTTGAACATCATCACTCTACTTCGTTTTATACGTCCAATGTGAATATACAATTGATGTAAGTCCTGAACCCTGGAATTATAATACAAAAAATCAGTGGTATGGCATATATAATACACATATGGAATACACTAATACGTCTCTCAATACATACAATATAAGTATATACAAATATATTACGTGTATACAAAATCGTTTGTGCTTATATTATATTATGTGTGTGTAAAGCATTTATAATACACATGTATAGGTATATAGCCATCTTTAAAAGAATTGAAAGAGATAGAGAGAGAGAGAGAAATATAATACGTGGCAAGTAGGTATCTCATATGGATACGGTGTGAATGATCGAACACTGCTGACCGATTCGCGATGTACCTATAACAGCTGTAGGTGGGACCAAATTTTAATATTTGTTATCCTACAGGTATTTATACAATATATAGTAGTTAGGTATAATATTATGCACATACTGTAATTTACATTTGTGTACAATATAAGGCACTAGGTATAGGTGTATAAATATATATATAAATATATTATTAACTCACAACTCTTAGGTAATTATTATTATCATCGTTGGTCCAAAATGTATATAATGACTGCTGTGCACGAAAACCGCTTTTTGACGATGCTTTGACAGCTACTGCAAAAGTCGTGTGTACAGCGTCTGGTATAATTACGGTGAACGCGTACCTACATACGCAAGAATTTCTCACTCGCCGCCGATAATCGACGATAGTGTTGTACTCGGTACACGGTTAAAGTAAAAAAATATAAAATAATATAAAAACTACCACGTTTACTACACAGCTGTTAAAAAATGCTACTTGTCGTTTTCAGAAATCTGCAGAAAAAATAACCAACGTTTCGAAGGTAGGTTTTATTAAATTCGGTTTTATTTATTTAATATTGGTACCTACAGCCGAACATAAGATGGGTCTTAAAAATAAATTCGTGGGAACAAGACAAAGATCGCTCAGTATTTAAAACTCACGCATTATCTATAGAATTATAGGTATGTGTTGTTATTAGATGGAAAAAATACGTTAAAAAATAACGTTTTTTATTTTTTTCAAAATCGCAAATTAATAAATATTTATAATATTATATTATTTTAAAAGTAGTCCATGATGAATAATTAATTTTATATTAAATTGATTATGCAGATTAACAAGTGTGAAAATTATATTATAATATTTTTGAAACATATAACCTAGTCGAAGCATGTATAAAACACTATATTATAAAGTGTACTATTATAATATGTCTCTAAAAATGTATGATTTAATAATGAAAAATATAATTTAACTATTTATGTCTACTAAAACATATGTATATAACCTACAGGTGATGTCACACGAAGATTTACGGATTTGGGTAATGCGTAGGTACATAGATTCCATTCCGCTATAAGAGTTTAGATTACAATAAATCTTCGCGAAGCACCCTGCAGTAGACCGCTTCAGGTGACAGCAATAAATTGCTAGTACGGTCGTGGTTGTACGCTTATACCTATATAATGATATACACTCGTGTGTTTATAGATATATACCTTTTTTCGACAACGTTGTGAAATTATATTATTATAATAGTCTTTAGCCGATTGCCAAAAAATATCAAATCGGAATATCTCATTTCATCATTCGTTAAAAGAAATATATAGACGACTCGGTACATAATAAGTAGGTAGGTACCTATATATAGTCACTACCTACCCATAATACGTAAAGAGTTGTTTGCATTTTATAGACGAGATTTAGAAAAAATAACAACATCAAAAACGGTATCATAATAACATGATAATATTATAATAATATAGTTATATATTTCAATACGATCGGCGCTTATTGTGAACAAAAAAAAAAAAAAAAAAACAATAATAGATCTTAACGATGATTATGGCGAGACTGTCAAACAGTGCAGCGTACATATTTTGTTCCGACCATGGTCAATGAGCTAAACGTTACGCCAGCTGCCGAGGTGAAGCAATTTTTTTTTAGCCAGATGGAATTCAACGGATCGATTATCTCGTATATATCTCGCATAATATATATATTATACCTTCCATACTTTGCTGTGCACCATCGCTGATATGCTAGGTTGTTTTATTTTGTTTAATATTATTTATAGATACGTAATCGTTTCGATTTTAGGAATCTTTAATAAAGTGCCATTTAAGTTTTTTTTTTTAATTTCTAAACTAATGTACCGTCAACCGATGACACGAAGTGGTTTAAAAAAAAAAAATGGCAATCGGTATAATATTACATTTTATAATATAGAAACGTGTATGGTACATATATAATACTATATACCTATATATGTTATATTGTATGTAGGTATACGACTCTCTCAAAACACACACGAACGACGTACATATATTACCTACACGAAGAGACTTGACTGTTCTACTCGCGACGGATGAATAATTGTAAACAAATTAACTCACGTGTGAGCGACATGATAAAATATACTATATATAATGAATTAGATCGTTTTTATAATATATTATATTATAACGAACCCAGCCGGACGTGTCGCTTATACTGTCACCAGCTGCTGTCGTATCGTCTGCATCCAAGTGAAACGCGTTTAGTATTGAATCTGAGCGAGTTTATTATTATCATAACATTAATTATTATAATAGCTGCAACGACGAGTGTCGATATAGCAAATTGAAGGACACATGCAAACAATGGCAAGCAGAGACTTAACCCGGCTAGAATAAACATTTTTTTTAAATTTAATTTTAATTTTCTACTTCAAAACATAGTGCCACACCGCGAACTGTACTAAGAAAATATGTTATAACAGAGGCGTTCAAACTGTGCGTCGCGTCTCCTCCTAGGGGCGTCGAGAGAGTTGGCAAAGAGAGCAGCGTCAACAAGCACCAGAAACCAAAATTAATGTATTCCATTGCATGTATAATTAATATAAATATTATTAAATCGATTGTGGAAACAATAATCAAACACGTCATTACTCGACTATATTTTAAAATTTTGTTTCTAGTACTAAATTCACTGTTATTATCACCCATGATGTCCATAATATTGTACCTATCCATATTGTCTCAATGTTTTTCACTTAATTTGGGAACAGTAAAAATATTGTGAACACACAAAGGAGCCGTGGGATGAAAAAGTTTAAATACCTCCGTGCTATAATATTATTATAAATATAATGTCGGTTGTGTGTCTGTAGACTGTGATGTATGAGGAATTGCGAGACCAGGTACGTCGCGTTATTGGAATTATCGGATTGCTTAGGAAAACTTTACAAAAGTCATCCAATAGCACAGTACGCCAGGATATGGGTTCGAATTGTTATCATAAGAGGAACTATAGACATTTTCATTAGAATGAGTTGTTTCCATAAATCAAGTAGTATGTGGTCGGTGGAGACTATCTAATAGGGAATGGATTCCAGATTCCAGTGCCTCTCATAGACATTTTTTTATTTTTTACTATTTTCACACCATTCTCTTATTTCAACAATCTACAATATTTATAATCGGACAATTTACAGAAGGTTTCAGTAAGTTGCTTATTAATAAGAAGATGTTCTTAAAAGAAAAAAATGTAGAATATAAATATATATTTCTTTATGTTCCCTATGCCTATATATGCTTAATTGAGTTATTGGACACTTGCTAGTTATTAGTTATTACACTCTACTGTTAAACATTTCAACTTGTTGAACACTTGTTAGACCTTGTCGGACACTTGTTTTGTACTTTATTCATGGAGCATGATAAATTTCCTTAAGGAGTTCACTTACAATATTACAAAAACATAACGGTACAAAAATGATGCTCAAACACATTTCAACAATAAGAATACCTACCACATGAATCGTTGCAAGACGGATTTTGTAGAGTTGAATATAAATATAAATCATATAAAACATATTAGCTGTCTTAAAGTAACAATATGTTCAAAAAGGTATCAATAAAAAGGCTGCAGTCTCGAACAAGTATATATATACTTATGGTCTAACAAGTCATGTGCTAATGTACCATAATCCATTGTTTTTGAACGGTTATCGTTAAGTTTTGTTACACACGTCAGTACGTCATCCGCTTTTGCCACACCTCCACAACGGCGATCACCATTTAACAATATATGATGATCTGCAACAATGGTTTCATCCACATGTTATTATATTACGGCAGTATTTCTGCTGGTATTGTGCATGTGGTCGGCCGCTAATCGCAAACGTCGAAAGTACCTACCTACCTATATTATATTTTACCTATATACGGTTTACGAGTCCGGCTGTCTCTATATTTTTTTTACGTCGTTTCAAAGGCCTTGCAGTGGAGACGAGCGCATCGAGAAAAACGGACGTGTGCGATTTTTTAAGCGTATATTACGGGGCAGCGGGTAGCGCGTGTGGATCTATAGCAGGTATCGATATATATATTTATATACATATCGACGGACGGCTGGCGACGGAGAGATGACCGTGTGTGCGGTGTACAATATACGTATAGCGAGGTATAAGCGTATAATGTTTATGCATTGTTATATTATATATATAGGTATACAATATGAGAAACACTTATAAACATGTGTATCCGGCCGGCTCGGCGGCGGCGTCAACAGCGGGCATCGGTGCCGTTAGTCACTCACGGCACGTTCTGCTTGTTATATTCGTTTTATTTAATAAAAAAACAATTAAAAGTCGACACATATACAGAGGGACGACGTCGGTCGGGATTGTTCAGCCGGCGAGGCGTGCTCGGCAAAACAATCACATTATTATTTTCCCGTGTAGGTATATTGTCGCAGCGGCGAATGCGCACACGCACGTCTGTGACGCGAGCGACCGCGCGAGTGAGACGCAGACAGAGTGAACCGCGGTCGCAGGCTATCGGCAATCGGTGTGAGAGAGAGATAGTGAAGAGATTCGCGATCGACGACGACGATGATGATGATGGTAATAATAATGCGGATAATCGGTTGTGCTGCAGCGGGGACGCCGCCGCGGCCGATATGCGTGCGGCGACGGCGGACGACACTGGTATTGAATCTGTAAACGCGAAATGAAAATGAGACGGCGGCGAGGCCGGTAGACTCGGACGCGATAGAGCAGGAGAAGAAGATGAAGAAGAAGTTAGATGAAAAAAATAAAAAAAATAAAAAACGATTACACGTAATTACACGTTGTAATGGCGAAGAGACTGTGGGAATCCGCTAGATCGATATATAATATATTGCTTTCGCGCTACACTACATTTATATAATATATCAAACGCGTATACATATACAGAGACGACGACTCGTCCGAGTGAAGACGCTGCCATTATAAAATTATCGTTATTATCATTATTATTATTATTATGTACACTCTGCAGCCACCGCCGCCCAGATATATTATACATATATAGGTACTTATATAGGTATATTAAATATACCTTCAGCCTGGCCGCACGGACGCGCGTATTGTTTATTGCTTTGTAGAGCGTTTTGCTCTAGTTTCGTCGGATCGACGGCCGATCGATCGTTTTATCACAATTTATATTATATATAGTCGGTCGTCGCGCAATAGCGTCCATAATTAATAATTGTTATATTATACTGTTTTTATACGTGGCCGCAATGATTATGGTCTGCCGACGATTTTTATATCTATTCTACCCATTATTGTGTTGTAGGTACACTTAATTTTTACGCTCGGACTGCACTCGGCTGTGTAGCAGTCACTCACCACTAACACACCACTCCACGAGCAAATGCAAAAACACAATAATATTATCACACATATTATTAAGTATTTATATACATTTGACATCTTCTTGGTATGACGTGGCTAAAAGATTATCATTTTTATACAGCTTATATTTGAAAAATATATTAACCAATACTACTAAAAACGACATCATTTAAAAAAAAAATTTGAATTTTGAATTTTTCAGAGAAATTGTCTTATAATAGGCGGCCATAATATTGAGTTCAACGCTGCTTTGAAATTTTGAAATAAACTGCACAAGGTACGTTTAATATAGGTACAATGTACAGCATACATGGAACTGATATAGAAAAAAATTACCTATAGTAAGTTACGTGAATATACAAGTGTGGTAAGTCAAGCTGTGCTTAAAAATCTGTACGCGTGTCTGATAAAAAAAATTACATGTGAATCAACAGGTTAACGCGGTAATCACTCATCAGTCATCATACATAATATTATATTTTTATAATAAAACGTTTGTAGATCCATTATACCTATTCGTTATATTGCAATTATTATTATACGTACTATCACGTGTGGAATATGATATACATTATACATAAAGAAAAATAAATCGATGGATTGTTTTTCATAAATTCGCTCAGAAGTCGACAATTTAAAGAAGACGACGACACCGACACACCGTGTACGTATATCGATTAACGAGTAAAATCAATTATTTATAAGGCCGACTCACTTGCACAACGGCTAAACGTGTTCTGCCGTGCTAACACTGCAACGACGATCTATAAATTATGCAGCTGCAACTTGACAATAATATTATATTTTATTGTTTTTTTTTCGAAAATCTTAATTGCCAGAGAATTTCTTTGTTATGTTGCATTTATTGTGTATACACAACCAACTACACGCATATTACGTATGAATGACGACATGACGGTCGATCGAACAAAAGTCAAGAATACAAAGTTTCAAAATATACCTACTGTTGTCCTAGCTGTTACCAACATTTTGCAAAAACTTATTCGATTGACGAATCACACGTTTCACATATTTATGTTGGACTTTAATCGTTAGGTTCTACAGAACAAGATTAAAAAAAAAAAATTGTAAACATTAAAATAGTCCAGTAAAAAAAGTCCAAGAAAAAAAATCCGAATAAATTAAAAAAAGCTCAAGACAAAATTGGTTTTAAAAAATGTTTTATTATTTGATATTTTGTGGGAAAGTTATACAATAAGTAAAAAAAATCTTTTAATTGTTATTATTATTTATTATACATTCAATCTACCTATCATTACTATTATTATAAAATATTATTCCTTACTCCTTTTTTTCAACAACTGTTTTATAATTTTAAATCGAATTCACACTATCCACTATATTGTATTTAGCTTCTAAGTTGTAATTAAATACTGAGCTACTGTAAAGCTTAAAATATTACAACGGTTGACTATAGAGACAATTTTATTTAAACTATTGTAGTATTGTTAATAATATATCTCAATTATCCAAGGATAAATTTTGATGATAACATTGTGTGTAAAGATGTATCTAGTAATTTGATTTTAAGTGTACATAAAGATCAAAACATATTCAAAAAAATTACCTTCAGACTTTTTTTTCTGTTCATTCGTTTTTTTTTACAAATATATCCTAATAAGACATAAGTATATATGAAACTATTCGATAAATATAATCAATAACCTTTTATGTTATATAGTATTTACTATGTTATTATTCTGGGAGGTACCTATACATAATAATTACAAGGATAAAATATCACCTATTTATTGAATTGATGTTCAATGAATATTTGCAAAAAATATGATTTGGTATTATCATTTGTAATATTTTTATCGCCAAAAAGTGAATGGCATAATAATATGAACTGGAATAATAAGAATTTGGAGTGTATCTTGTATTTGGTTAAGCAACAACCGTTTACCTAAATGTAGCACAACGCCAAGGTCATTATCGACGGTAGTCATAATTACTATGATCAGTTTTTATTGACAATTATTATATCATCGTTTATAGATAAGTTTGAAATCGCCAACGCAATGGACGTGCCGTATAATTTTCGGTATTAAATCGCATCGAAAGCTGATGACGACCAATATAATAATAACTATAATATGCTATTGTAGGTAATTGATCGATCAAATAATAGTTTAATGCGTATAGTATATCAAAAACCGTTCAGATTATCATATTAATATTATTATATTGTTCTCGGACCGAGTGAAACGTGTTTTTTGATTGATGCGTTTAATGCGAGCAAGCAACCATATTCGAGTTTGAAGGTGTAATTCACGTGCAGTAAATGGCACACTATAATAATGGAATTATACTTATTCATCTAATTCTATATTAGTATATTATTATTAATGTCAATGTTATAATATTATTATATCGTTATTCGGCCGATTGCCGTGTAACGATCCGAGTCAATATCATCGCTCGCGCGCCATACGACGCATTCGCGACGTCTGTGTCATTATACGCGTGACTGGCGTGAGTATATTATTATTATTATTATTATTATTCTACAATCTACAGGTCTTGTAAATTGATTCGTCGAATAACACGGTGTGCTATTATACAGATATCAATAATGCGCAGCAGCTCGACACTTCCTCTTCGTCGTCCCGTGGCATTCGCGCAGTCGGCAGTCGCGAAAGCATTAAAAAAAAAAAAGCTAGACCAGGTCTTTTCAGTAAAATTGTATTTTTACGGCAGTCAGTCCAATTACAATAACATGTCATGATAATGTAGTCAGAGTAGGTAAATACGTGAAGTATAATAAATTATGAACATGAAGTTTCCCCTCTCCCCACTTCCAGCTATAGACCCCAGACTTTTGCATGATTTTGCAATTAATTTTCTATAATTAGCTATGCAATTTTTAGAAATTGCATACCTTTAGTTTTTCAGGACAAAATCAATAGTTGCATTTGCGGTCGTTGAGAAGTTATGAGTAATTTTCGAAAACAGCTGGTAAGTTTTCACTAACGACCAACGCTTTATTGAACACTTTAATAACAATCCAAAATGATTCATATGAAATGAATTGCGGTTTGTTGGTAATTTTTAGAAAGGTCCCACTAATTGCTGAATCTCAGTTTACTTTTTACTACGTTTTAAATGATCACCGCTAGCTTCATATCAAGTCCATCAAAGGGCCCACTATATAGTGAATATACTATGTCATACAATATTATTATTATTTTATTAACTATTCAATCAAACGCAGTTTAGTTTAGATAGTTAAGAAATATAATAACTAATAATAATACATTTTATAATTTATTATGTAATATTATGTAGTTCCAATATTTAAAAAAAAAATGTTTGAATTAATAAGTTAATTTAGTTTTTTAAACTAACAATGTAATACATTTTTAACTTAAAATGTTAAAGAAAAATTGTATCAACTAAAAAAAAAACTGATAAATCATTAATTTTCCAAGTATTTAAATAATTATCCAACCTAACAATTTACATGTGATAAAAATAGTAAATTAATAAAAAATAATCATTATATCCTCAGGTATAGTATTGCTAGAGTTATTTAATTCATTGATAAAAGTTTACATTGGACATTATGTGGCCTATGTAAGACGCCTCATTGACCCAAGGGAATAGCACAACTACATGTGTCGCACAGTTGAGTCCTGTAACATATTTACATGTAGGTATGCCGCTAAGTTCACGGACATGTAAAATTCGGAATGGTATTGTGAAACAGTTGCAATAACCATTTTGGACTTTATATTGCACTGTACTTACTGACTGTCCATAGTGTAGCCCCCAGCTAACATTCAAAAAACTAAAAAGAATTGTTAAAAAGACTCGATTGCGGCAGTTCAGGTACTGTACACTATGTTTTATGACATCTAAGCTGGAGGTAAAGTCATAAAAAACACATTATAATTATTGCTTGTTAGTTTAATACAATATACCTACGTAATATTAAATATTTAATGCCATTATATGTATGGACACAAATCACTTCATATATATTTAAATCGTTTAAGCCAACATGTAAAAATGGTTACTTTGTATTTGTTATATATAATTAATGTCCACAAAATTTTTTTCAAACTCCCGTAAACATGTTAAATCTCGTAGGTCCAAAATGTCTCGACTCGGCGCTGTTTACCTAGGTAAATAATTATTATAATGTTCACATCGTTATGACATAATATTATTATTGTATACGTCGTACGAGCTCAATAACCTATACCTACGAGTAATATAATTGCGGTTGACGAGCGTCGTATATATGAATCGTACTGATAGTAATATAGACTGTTTTTGGACCTCGCACAACAAACACAGATAATTATAC